AGCAAAATACTAACCTTCAGAATGTAGGGTGATTTCAAACACAATTTGCATAATTATCACTAACACTAAAATGATTAACTAGCGGAAAAAACAGTGTAGTGTAACCGAATGCTAGGAAATTCAAGTACGTAAATGCTGTTGCATGCCAAAGGTTTGAACGAAACCACGCCAGTGTTTCCTGTCAAAAATTTCTAATCTCTCCGTTCTGTTTCTACCTCGCCTGATGCTGTTCACAAATATGGTAATAACTTAATGTAAATATTGTATAAACGTTATGAATGACAAATGTTATGAAGATTTTTTCATCATTTAGATGTCACCTCCACTTGTAGACAGTGTTCGTTTTCTGGCACCATCATGGCGATGTTGCACGCCGGTATTGGTAAGCTTTACGGTAAAAAAATACACTTTTCGTCAAAACATTTCTGTGTTTTTCAGTCTTCAAAGGAACAGTCTCTCAACAGCCATCCCATGCCAGCGGTCATATAGCTTATTTTCGGGACCTAAAATTTCTTCGGAGGTTAATGGATGACGTTGAGTTTGTAGGAGACAGGACTGAAGGTGATAAACGCAGTCGCAAATGTAAGTCATATCGTTTCCGTTATTCCTTGAACTTAATATATAATTTATCTGTTCATGAATTGCTAAATTAATTATTCAGAGTAAAGTGCCAAACTGGTGGTCGAAACACTGCGAATTCATGTTTCAGTCGTGCCAGTTAATCTCACTGTCTGAAGCAGAACTGTGAATACTGATTAATGAGAGGGAAACAGGAAACTCTACGATGGTTGCCACGTGACTGTAAAAACTGCCTTTAAATTTTGTACTGCTAAAGTGGCATAAACGAAAATCATTACATCACCATATGCTTTATGGAAATAGTGCCCTTCTCTGCAGTATACGGGACAGACTCTTAGAAGGGTAAAATTCTCATTTCCTCTAAAATCGACTACAATGTCTACAACGAGGAAGCTAAGTCTGATTACGTGTAGAATCTCTTGTGTAACAATTGTAGTTGAAAACAGTTGTCAAATAGGAATGATCATCTGCCGTAATTCTCCCGGATTTTTCTACGGCGTAAATTACACCCTTCCGTTGATTCTAGTGGTCTAGGGGACCGTTTGTAAACTGACCACTGGTTCAAAGTATCTTGACATCTGTAATGCATAGATGCTAAACCGTATCACCGAACAGAGTTGAACAAAAACCTGTTCGAATACCAGTGGGAAATAATGTTACAGTCCATGTAGACGTATTTATTGTGACTAATGAAAGTGATTCGGCGTATGTAACGCCATCTTGAAAAATATAGACGCCCGTCTGGCGTACCAGTATGAAAATCGTAAATCAGTTTCTTTGAGCTTTGGCAATAAGTCATCAACCGTGTTTCTCGTGCATTTGTCTTCAACCATGTTTTATGCCATGGCCGATGACTGTTGAAAACCGATAACATGCTGTCCACTATTAAATCACGCAACTTGTGGATACATGAATTTGTGCATGTGTTTTTAAACGGTACGATATTAGTTTATACTTTATAACTAGCGAAATATGACTTTACTTCTGTTAAAATGTATCCATGCCGAAAAGTTCCCTAAAAGTTTACTGAAGTTTCTTGATACCATTGATTATGTTGCAGGAATAGAGTCCACTTTAACCTTAGCGCATTCTTTGCGGGCGTGTGGCTGGTTTGCCTGTACCGCGGAGTTTTCCGGCTAGATTTATGTTCCAACTCACGAATCCCACGCCTTGAACCAGTTAGAATTGTTTAAAGCTTCTTTTGTATGCACTACATGCTCTTAACACTTAAACATGACATTCAGACATGGTTGTGATAAGGTCTCTCTCCTCCATCTCTCTTTTCACTGCGTTCTGCACCGCCTATGAGTCCATTTAAGTAAGTCTAAGCTACATGATATCCTCGCATCATTTGTCCGCCAGAATCAGTTCGAACACATTACGAACGATGTATCACTCTGATCTTGGAGGAGTCAGACTTCACCTGACATATGTCGGTGTACGAACATCGATATTTTTCGATAGCATACAGGCAACACTAAGCAGTCTTAATGAACAGCCTCTGTTTTGATCACCCGTTAATAAACTCGTTTTTTAAGTAGAAACGAATATTAACTATACAAAATTCATAGCTCTCTTCGAGTACTCGTGTACGATAAGTACTTATCATAATCTGCTATTGAAAGTTACTGTATATAC